ATGCACTCTCCCTCTACTGCGGATTGGGCGGCTCTCAAGAGGATTTTACGGTATGTAAATGGGACACTACATCTTGGTCTTAAGATTACGTCTTCTCCTTCTCTAGATATTCATGCATATTCTGATTCGGATTGGGCTAGCAATCCTGATGATCGCAAATCTACTAGTGGTTTTGCTGTATTTTTGGGGACCAATCTTGTCTCATGGGTTTGTCGAAAACAACGTACTGTGGCTCGTTCATCAACTGAGACTGAATACAAAGGACTGGCTGATGTCTCTGCAGAGGTTACTTGGCTCGTCTCTCTGATGAAGGAAATCGGGTTTGCGCCACCTTCTGTGCCCAAACTCTGGTGTGACAATCTGGGAGCTACTTATCTGTGTGCTAATCCGGTGTTTCATGCTCGCACCAAGCACATTGAGATCGACTACCACTTTGTTCGTGATAAAGTCGCGAAGAAGGAATTACAAGTCAATTTTATTTCTACCAAAGATCAGATAGCGGATATTTTTACTAAGTCTCTTTCGTCTGTACGTTTTAATTTACTCCGTTGCAAGCTCAATGTTTTGGCTGACTAACCTTGTGCTTGAGGGGGAGTATTATGACTATTAGGACTCTATTATCCATATTAGACTAGGACTATATTATTCGTGTTAGACTAGGATTCTATCTAGCATCTCTATATATTCGCTCCCTGTACTCTCAGACATTATTATTGAAATACAACACAATTATATTCTCATCAAATGAACCTAAAGTGTAATTGAAATGATACTTCAGTGTTATTATAACGAAACAAGTGTGTGTAGACAATGAAACTAAAAAACATATATTGTCAAATGAACCTGAAGTGCAATTAAAATGATATGATAGCGTTATTATAATGAAACTAGTGTGTGTGAAAATGAAACTAGAAAATAGAGCTCATGCAATAATGTTTATTATCTGCGAAAAGTTTTAGCTAAAATGGCTATTTTGAGTGGCTATTTTGTGGTACAAATATATGTAGGTCCACTTCCAATTTGGGTCGGGTCAAAGTGAATTCGGATTCTTCGTAGTGAGACCAAAAAATTAATATATTGTACATTCAAAACGAGTAATAAATGAATGAGAAATTGATTCTCAAAGTAAACCTATTTAAGAGAAGTCAAAAGTTGATTGTTAAATTTACTCTCCAGTGGTGCTTGGTGAATTAGCACTATTCGGTGTTTATTAAAACAAAACACCGTTTGGTGCTTTAATTAAGGAAGTGCATCAGACGGATCAGAACGGTTCAGATGAAGCTGAGATTGAACCTGGTCCCTCTCTGCCTATTATTCTAATTACTGACTGTGAAGAGTTTAATTTTCAGGGCCATTCTGGTGATCAGTCTCAGACTCCAAATAAGCATGTCCATGATGGCAATCCATCCCAAGTGGCCATTGATTCCAGCAGCCCCTCAGCCGCTACTCCAACGAACATAACTGGCAGTCCCCATCCTTATGTCAAATTCTGAGCATACTAAAATAGGCAACACAGTTGCAGATAACGTGAATATAACTTGCTCAGATCCTCCTATGCAACCTTGGAGGTCAACCAGAGAACGTCAAATGCCAAAAAAACTACAGGATTATTATTGTGATATAGCTGAACGACCAAAACATCACCACACTCTTTGTCGAAGGTAATATCTTATGATGGTCTTGAGCCCATGCACAAAGTTTTCTCTATGGCAGTCATCAACAGCAGCGAGCCAAGAACCTATAGCTAGGCCATAAAGCATTATTGCAGGAAAAGGGCCATGGAAGAAAAAATCGATGCTCTCCAGAAAAATCAAACATGGGAATTAACACAACTTCCTCCCAGGAAAGTCCCTATAGGCTGTAAGTGGATATATAAAGTGAAGCTCAAGGCCGATGGTAATGTGGAAAGGTACAAAGCAAGGCTCGTAGCGAAAGGCTATACGCAACAACTAGGCATAGACTACCTTGAGACGTTCTCCCTGGTAACAAGGATAACTACCATTCGTACCTTTCTTGCAGTGGCAGTTTCTAGAGCTTGGCACATCCACCAAATGGATATAAACAATGTCTTTTTACATGGGGATCTAGACGAAGAAGTATATATGGTGTTACCCCCCAAATTTCGAAGTCAAAAACCCAATCAAGTTTGCAGATTGTTACGGACTTTATATGGCCTTAAACAGGCGAGCAGGCAGTGGAATGCAAAGCTAAGCATGGCATTAATGCACAACGGTTTCAAGCAGTCAAGGTCTAATCCTTCTTTATTTACAAAAGGGACTGGTGCAAATTTCATTGCGTTACTTGTATATGTTGACGATATAATTGTGGCCAGCACTAACATAGAACCAATTCATCAACTAAAACTATTTCTGGACAATACTTTCAAGACAAAGGATCTGGGATCACTGGGATATTTTTTGGGGATCGAAGCTAAGGCAGAAGCAGATGGCTTAAACATTTGTCAACGCAAGTATGCGTTAGACATACTGGAAGAAACTAGGGGGCCGTTTACTAACTGAAAATTTCTGGGAATTTCCGGAAACTGGAAAATAGAAAACAGAAAACATGTTTACTAACACAGTTTCCATTTTCAAAACTGAAAATAATTTCTAGAAATTTCTGAAAAACTGAAACACACTTAAAAACTGTTTTCAAAATAGAAAACAGAATCATCTATCATCTATTTAGTTATATGTCACTATAATCACATTACTATGATTACATTCATTATCATCTTATTTACTTATCACTATCTTCTATCTTTTCTACTTACCTTACTTATTTAAACATAATTTATTTGCTTACACTTTAAAGTTAGACATTATTTACATTATCAAAATTAAGAATTAAACTCTATATAATGTTTTAGATTTTGATTGAACTCAATAGATTATTAGTTCGAATATTTGTAATTATGTTACATCATAATACAAGTTTGGTCTAGATATCGGATATTGAAATCTCACATATATTAGAATTCAAAGTAAAAGTTATATATTCATATACATGTCATTCAAATGAATATATTCAAAAAAAAATATTTTAAATATTAGCTCAAAAATATTAATATTATCTAAACTAAATTTTAGGTGAAAACTAAAAAATTAGAAAACAGAAAACAGAGAACAGTTTTATGTTAGTAAACAAGTTTTCTAAACAGAAAACAGAGAATTGAAAACAGAGAATGAAAACTGAAAAATTAGAAAACGAAAACAGAAAACAATTTTCTGTTAGTAAACGGACCCTTAAATTTCTGGGGATAAGATAATGTACATTATGTGTTAGAATAATGTACATTGTGAGTTATAATAATGAAACTGATGGGGTAAGATAATGTACATTATGTGTTAGAAATAATGTACTCTATGAGTTATAAAAATGTATATTACAGGCGGTCGCGCAAACCGATGTCTTTTTTTTTTTTTTTACTGTGTCCACACAATAACTATTGATAATTTCATGTTTTGGCCAACCTATTGCAAAAACTCTTGAGTTGAAGAGTGTTAAGTATACGCACAAGTTAGTTAAGGAAGAATTACTCACAAGATTGGAAGAAACATGTATTTGTATTTATACATATAAATTTTTTACTTTGTATGAATTTAAGTGAAATTGGCAGAACAAATTGAATATTTGTATCAGTACACAATCAATAGTGTAGTTACCCGAGGAAGTCAACACCATGCATGAAAACAATGCATAGATGATAATGTCAAATGTAAAATATCTCAATAAACACAAGTGACTTTGTAAGCAGGAACGGAGGGACCTTAAGGGGTAGGGGGCCTTGGCGCCCCCACCCTCACCCACCCCTACCCTCACCCTAAATTTTTTAGTAAATATGTATGTATATATTGATATAATAGGGATAAAATACATTTTTGGCCCCCCTCTAATTTTTTTTTTATAAGAAAAATCTATTATGTTTATATTAAATAAACTCAAAATATATATTAAAGTTCAAATTCATTAAATAAAAAGAAATAAATCAAATAATTAAAGTGATCATTTTTCTTTATTATCTTATTTCTTTTATCAAGATTTTAATAATGAATGGCATCAAGTATACATTTTAATTTAAAAAAAAAATCTCCAAATTTGATATATATATGCTTTGGTTTTATTAGTTATATATGTTGATTAATTAATTAGTGATTTATTGTGTGTTTTAATTATTTATTTACATTTTTAAAATGTACATTTACTCGTTTAAATGATTAATTTTGAAAGTGACAAAAATTAATATTGATTATTTAATTCATCTTGATTTTTGTCTTTATCTCTCAAATTTTGAAATATTCAGTTAACTAGTAAAATGAATATAAGTTAATTATGAAAAAAATTGATGATAAAATAATTGACAAAACTTTTTATTTGATGTTAAGTGAAAATCTATATTTAAATAAATGTTGTTGTTATTGTTATTATTATATTTTGTGTTATGTAACAAAAATTCTAAAGTAACGATCGTACTCATATAATTATGTATTTCATACTTTATTACACATAGTATAATTAGAAATCATTATCAATAATAATCACAATAATGTACGATATATATAATAATATGGTGCAATTAATTATAATGTGGACTAATATTGTAAATTTTTTCTACTACATTAGCCCCCCCAACTCAAGTTTTCTGGTTCCGTCCCTGTTTGTAAGTACGTGTTTGTTCTCATGTTCTTACTGATGGAAGCCGGCGATGAACGATTGGAGATTGAAGAAACGAAGAGCATGCATTAGAAATCAAAGATATTTTTCATTGTTCAGATGAGAAGGATACAACCCAAAATATATGGAATAAAGCTTGGTGGTAAAGACGGTTGTAACAGATTTAAGAGGATAAAAGGACAACAATACCCCTGAGCTATTTAGGCCATGCTATCTTCTTCCTTTTCTCCCATTACGTCCGCTTCTGCCTTGTTCGCTAATAACCCCGTAAGCTGGCGCATGTAAGTCTTGTATGTCTAGCTTAGAGGTGAAGTGTTGGAACTGGGCTATCGGCATATATGTTTGGTGCGCTCGTGGAAAACGTGGTTTTCAGCAATGACAATAGCCGATTTGTTGTCGCAGAATATAGTCGCTGGCTTGCTTAACTCAACCTACAAATCGTGGAGTAAGTGAGCCATTGGACCTCACATACAGTAGCAGCCAGCGCACGATATTCAGCCTCAGAAGATGATCGAGATACAGTAACTTGCTTCTTGGCTCTCCATGAAATCAGTGCAAGGCCTAGGAAAATGCAGTACTCGGTAATAGACTTTCGTGTTTCAGAACAAGCAGCCTAGTCAGAATCGGAGAAAACCTTTAGCTGCATATCCATGTTGGCAGGGTAGAAACTCCCTGGCCTGGAGATTTTTTGATGTATCTTAGCACACGCTGAGTAGCTGATAAATGCTTGTCTGCAGGGGCATCAATGAATTGACTGAGTTGTTGAATGGCGAAGGTAAGATCAGGCCTCGTGGCCGTGAGATTCAATAATCTTCCTACCAATCTTCTATAGCTGCTGGCATCTTCAAGAGGTGTGCCGTCACCATGGCTCAACTTTAGGCCATGCGCCATTGGTGAGTTAGCAGGTTTGCAACCAAGAAATCTATTGTCCGTTTACCAACAGAAAACTGTTCTCTGTTTTCTGTTTTCTAATTTTTCAGTTTTCATTCTCAATTTTCTATTCTCTGTTTCTGTTTAGAAAACTTGTTTACTAACTAAAAACTGCTCTTTGTTTTCTATTTTCTAATTTTTCAGTTTTCACCTAAATTTAGTTTAGATAATATTAATAATTTTTGAGCTAATATTTAAAATATTTTTTTGAATATATTCATTTGAATGACATATTGACATGTATATGAATATATAACTTTTACTTTGAATTCTAATATATGTGAGATTTTAATATCTAATATCTGGACCGAACTTGTATATTATGATGTAACATAATTAAAAATATTTGAACTAATAATCTATTGAGTTCAATCAAAATCTAAAGCATTATATATAGTTTAATTCTTAATTTTGATAATGTAAATAATGTTTAACTTTAAAGTGTAAGCAAATAAATTATGTTTAAATAAGTAAAGTAAGTAGATAGTGATAAGTAAAATAAGATGATAATGAATGTAATCATAGTAAAGTGGTTATAGTGACATATAACTAAATATATGATAGATGATTCTGTTTTTCATTTCGAAAACAGTTTTTAAGTGTGTTCCAGTTTTACAGAAATTTCCAGAAATTATTTTCAATGTTAGTAAACATGTTTTCTGTTTTCTATTTTCCAATTTTCGAAAATTTCCAGAAATTTTCAGTTAGTAAACGGCCCCTTAGTTTCCTATCTCCAAAATTCTCAATCTTTATATATTTCATTTGACTTGCAATGACTTTAAATAGTCATTAACAAACAGATTACAACCACATGAATGAGATAATTATTTAAAATAAGATAAACTAATCCTAACCAACAAGCTAAGATAAAAATGAATAATAATATAATTCTAACAAACTAGCTAGATCTAAATAGTTTTAAGATAATAATCCTAATTAATTAATATAACTAGCTCTAAAATATCCTAAATTTTCACGTGGCCACAACATGTGTGGACCGTAATTTGCCTGAAATTATGTACATGAGTTAGAAGATTGTGCTCATCTCAAAGAATGGCATCCTCAACCCCAATATGGTTAGTATTGTTGGCTAAAATCCTCTCACCTGGAAGATCAAAGAAAACCAATGTCAAATGATAAAAAGAGCAAACGTGTCTTAGTGTACCCATACAACAAATAAATCTTCTTTGAGTAAATACATGAAGAATTTATCTGAATCATTGATTTTTTTTTCTTGATTTGGAAAGTGTATTTAGGCGGGAAAATGCTACATTATATTTTTAACAGAACATTTTGTTTTTATATATTTAAAGATAGAAGATAGATTTATAGATAGATTGCCTATTATTTATGAAGCAATCATCAAAAAGATCTTTTTATCTATCTTTTGCCATTTTAAGATGGAGAGAGGGAATGTCTTTGATAGATCATAATCCATCATTAAAAAATTTGAATCAATGAAACTTAACAGATATCAGTCTCTTACCGAAATATTTGTAAAAAAAAAAAATCTAAAGAAATATATATACACACACACGTCTTCTAAACTCAAACCATCTTACCTGACATGAAGCCTTGCATCTCTCCTCAAAGATTTGGTTGTGTAAAATTTGTCTTTTTCTGTTTTGGTTTTGTTTAACAAATCAAACATCCAAAACCATATGTCTATGGAGCAGTTTCACAACTAAAACATCCAAATAATAGTCATCAACTCCACTTCTCATTGTGAACCATTCATCACACTATATATATATATATATATACTGCCAGATTCCACTCTTTCCCATCAAACAAAACACAAACCATCTCTCCTCAACCAAGAAAATCTTAATCTCTCTGTTCATCACTCTACAAAAATGGCCAAGTTTTTTCTGATATGCATTTTCTTTCTTGTTTTCACCTTTGGCTGTACTCAGTCAGCAAGGATCCTTGATGAAGCGAGCCCGGTCACCCCCTTGTCAGCAACTTTACCTGAAGAAGAAGCTAATCCACCGGAAATAGATGACCCTGTGGCGACTCCTCCGGTGGCACCAGCTGTTGCTGCCCCTGGAGTGGTTGATCCACCGGAAACAGATGACCCCGAGGTGGCTCCTCCCACAGCTTCAGCTGTCACCGCCCCTGCTGTGAATGTTGTTAGCCCGGTTGCAGCAGTGGCTCCTCCTCCTGGGGCGGCCCCTGTTGCAGTAGCCACCACTCCTGGTACCTCATCTGCCACGGTGGCAAATCCCACTACAGACCACCCCGCACTTTCTTTCTTCATGCATGACATTCTTGGTGGCTCGCAACCTTCAGGCAGAGTAGTCACTGGCATTGTTGCCAATTCTAACGCCAACAACTTGCCTTTCACCCAGCCTAACGATCAACTCTTCCCCATCAATGGTGGAGTACCTCTCAACACCATCAACAATGTCATTAACAACAACAATTACCCATTCCTCGTAGGCCTAAATGGTCAACAACAAACCGACACGCTCCTCCAAAACACTGGCAACAACAATGTAGTCGATAGTGGAGACAACCAACCTTTTGTCACAGGTGGGCAGCTCCCTTCTGGTCTCAACCTCCAACAACTCATGTTTGGCTCAATCACTGTCGTCGACAATCAAATAACCGAAGGGCACGAATTGGGATCAGCTGTTCTTGGAAGAGCACAAGGATTTTACTTGGCTAGCTCTTTGGATGGCACTAGCCACACATTAGCCTTGACCGCACTGTTCCATGGTGAGCATGATCACGAACATGAACTTGGAGATACCATCAGCTTCTTTGGAGTTCACAGAACAGCTACACCAATTTCTCACCTGGCTATAATTGGCGGGACTGGCACGTATGAGACAGCTAAGGGTTATGCCACCATAGAGACTCTTCCGCATGTGGATCAGCACACAACTGATGGTGTGGAAACCATCACCCACTTCACTGTTTACATCACCCCTTGAAAGATGTTTTATTCTCGGATGTTGCTTCAATATGTTGATGTATCTCATGCATGTAATTGAATGGGTGCCTATATGCAGTTGATGTTGTAATTTCTTAAATTTATGTTTTCTAAGGAGTATGCTTCACAGTTCTTAGCCCCTAAAGATAAACATTTAAATCGAAAACTCTTTTAGGCAGAAACGTTGAATTAAAATACATAAGAAAATGATCTTTGATTTAAACTTAGATCAAAAGGCATAGAGATAAAGCACCATACCTCATCCACATCAACCGATAAGGGAACTTATCGAGCCTCCGAAGCTGCAAAACTCCATTTGTGTTTTACACCTAAAATGTCTCACTCACGGGCTTATCAAAATGGAATCCAAGAGTTGCACGCACATGCCATGGCATATAGTAATGTCTTTTACGAACTAGAAAAGCATGCTATGGTCAGCAAACAAGAATTAAAAAGTCAACACTTAGGTAGACAAGAATTTCTATAGCAATATTATTATTAACAATAAAACCAAGCGGAAAATTTCTCATATGCTTCACCATACAGTAGCTGATATTTGAATTTTTCACTCTACCCTATACAGCACTCACATCTTATAGTATACTATATGCCAAAACTGCTATTTCAACGTTGCATTTTACCTGCCAAAGAATGATTTAAATACAGAGGGAAAATGTAAAAAAAATAAACTCTCAAATGCAAAACAATTCTGCTACTAGTTCATCGAACAAGTAATTCTCTACTTCCTTACATATATTACTAATCTCGCTCTCCATTTTCAACCACTTTGTTTCCACTCCCAGTGCTTTCTCAGACAAGTCCTTGCCCACTTCCTTTTCCTCATTAACAAGCAACATCCACAATTCTTCCTCAACCTCACTTCGTCTCAATGTTGGATGAAACATCATCTTCAAGGACTTTGAACGAATATGGATATCCGTAAATGAATTCAAAATCTCACTAAACCAAGAATTTATACGGTCAAACAAAAGCCTCCTTTCTGACTTCAACCAAGATATCTGCTTACCATATTTCTTCTCTAATGCCTCAAAAAACAATGGGTTTATAGGGGATTCCAAAGAATTACATGTTTCGAAGTCCACTTCAAAATTCAGGTGGGCCTCATCTAAAACATCAACTAGGTAAGAGAAATCCCTACTTTCTTCACTGCTAAACACTCCCAGCAGTTCTCGAGAAAAGTAAAAAGATCGTTTCTCATTATTTTCAAGACTTGATACTGCCATTTCAGATCCTTCAGAGTATGTTTCCTCTGAGCTGGTTTCAAGAAGCTTAAGCTGCTTTACCACACCTGGCAAAAGTAATGTAGAGCAACCATATTATATTAGACCAACTAAATGAACAAAGACTGCTTTACATGATGTTAATGTATAAAATGAACAGAGAAGGGCAGTGTTCACTTACTATGTAAATCTACAACAGGACCGTCATAGCATTCAGAGTTTCGAAGTTTCCCCGCCTTAAAATGTGGTTCAAGAACTGAATTTGGACTACTTTGTTTGGCTTCCTTCAAATTCATAGCAGAATTTGGGTCAATTATGGTATCTTTCAAAGAAACCAGCCTGTTTGGAGGGGATTCATTCAATGATTCCTGCATAGTAGCAGTAATAAACTATATCATAAGCTAAGATGATAGGTACAGAGTAAAGGATGCCAAGATCTACAACTTTGTTTTTCAATCTAAATCCACAATAATATTATAGCTAATGTTTATACTCCTTTGTGAAATAGAAGAATGAAAACCATACTTCAACTCATAGTTTTTGTAGAAATTGCATATTAATCGGAATATCGGATGTATTTGAGAACAATAAAGTAGTTATAGAATATAGACATTAAAAATCCAATTTGAAAAGTTACTAGTTAATAAATCGCACTATAAATAAAGTATGAAGATAGCATCTAAAAGGATTAAATTGACATTCATTCTTTATCCAATACATCAGCATCCATTTGGGTGAAAAACACTACATAGTTAAGTATTTTACATTCATGGAAAACAATAACGTCTACTATAGGAATTTGTCTAATGTAGAACTACAAAGATGGGGTAAAAGGATGATCGCAACAATTAACTAAAGAACAAATCAACCAAAGCTTGAATCAGGGAAAATATTGTGTGGATGATCCTAGTATTTGTCAGGTTCAAGATGACAAGAAAAAAAATAATAGTTTTACCTACTTGGAATCCAGATTACAAAAACAATTGTGAAGTAGACCAGAAATACTCAAAGGAAAGCAAACAAGCCTAAGCAAGGGCATCATTATATGATCAAAAGAAAAGCCAAACCTGTTTAAATGAAGTTTCCCAACTGTAAGAGGAAAGATCATCTCCAGTTGACAAAGAGGGACTTGGTTCAGAATGAAGATTTTCAAAATTCATAGAAGAAATTCCAATGCCTTTGGTGTTCGCATTAGCCAATGAACCTGCAGCATTCCTTGTGAAAGCAAGACTTTTACTCTTAGAGTTTGAAAGACCAGGATTGCATTTGTAGAATCTAGATGCACTCTTCTTCTCTGGAATAACTACTCTTCTATCTCCAAGTTCAACATAATGTTTCTGGCTTTGCTTCATGCATTTGTTTTCATTCCTAACATCATCCTTTTGCCACAAACATGAGCCATATAGAGTAGGCTCAGTCCTGGATCTGCTTTTGGCATTTCCTGATATATTAATACAAATCTGTGAAGTGTTTGATCTCGGTAAAGTTCTACTATGCTCACTCTTCCAACCATCTCGGCTGCTAATTTCCCTAGGATTGCTACAGCCTTTATCCACTTCAACTTCCTGAAAGTCTTTGGTTAGATTCCATTGTTCAAACATTTGCCTCTTAGACTCTTTTGTAAAAAATAACAGATTTGAAAAGGAATATGCACTACGATCTAGGACACTGTTGTTTAAGGAACTTGAAGATGAGGGGCTTAATGCCTCTGGCTGAGTAACTGTTCCCAATTGCACTGGTTTGGTTTTAGGATCACCAACATGATAGTGCCTTGCATATTGGATTCTTCTACTCGGAGATCCAAAGGGAACTCTAAAACTCTGTTTGGGAGGTTCCATGTCACTTTTAGGATAATGTACAGAACTAGGTTCTAGTACCGTAGTCCTAGTAGATGGATGATACGTGTTATCCTTCAACTCAAAGTGGGATTTCAGTCTGCTCAACTGGCCTGTCTCAAACTCACCAATGGAACTCAAAATATTCCCGTCAGACATTATATCTGACTTCTTGCATATTTCATTGTTTCTATATTTTGAAGCACTGGATGACTTACAGACAGCTGAATGTCCGAGACAGTGCTCTGATGGAAAATTCCGGACATCAAGCAGCTTATTTTCCTCTCTAATTGCTTTGCGCTTCTTAGTGTTCATACTAGAAGAGTGGCCTACAGAAAATGAGCTTTTCTCCCGCAAAACTATAGAAGCTGATTTTCGGAGATAAGTTTCTGAGAGTATTCTTCTTTGTTTATAGACAGGCTGTGGAGGTAGCGGCTCATCAAGACCCATCAGCCTTGCAATAACACTTGGGGAATGTCTATTAGATTCCATCTTTCAATAACTATTCGGCTTTGCTGCTTGTATCAGGCACTGCATAGACAGGAAGACGAGTTTAGGTTTTGTGAATCAAAGATTTATATGTAGGAGCAAAATAGAAGGCAATCCATGTATTTGAAAGAACTTCCAGTTGAAGATATCCCACATTCTGGAAAAGAAGAAGTTGTTATTCATCACAATTGATGACATCTACTACCTTCTGGCCACTCACACTTGGAATAGGCAAAAGAATTAAGAAGTAGTTCAGCACATCAGAACCAATCTATCTATGTCAACACATTAATCATTGTCATTGCTAAGAACAGAACTGGTTAGTACTCACTTTACATCACGCTAATCTATCATAATGTGATAGGCCAGATAAATGAATGTATATACACAGTGCACAAAACAAAATTCACATCTAAACAATAAAGTGATGGTGCTGTATAGGATCTCCCCTCCATGGTTTTAAGTGACAGTAAATCATCCAAATCAACTTTATATAAAGCTTAAAGTTATTAAGAGTAGAGGAATATTATTATGTTGAAATTTTTATTTATAAAAAATAAATATCAACTAAGATGCAGAGGATACCTGGGCTTCACTTGAGCTGAAGAACTTAGCATAGTAAAACATGAAACTTAAAAAATTGAGGAAACAGACACAAAGTCAAATACCTTGACAGCAAAAGCTAAAAGCAGACCATAGATATTAGCACAATCACAATCAATAAAGCCTTCATTCCACCAACAGTGTAAAAGTTTGCAAAATAGTCATCATAGAGAACAATTAACAATTATAGCTCAAAAAAAGAAAAAAACAGAATCATTCCATTTCCATCCCCACAAACAACTAACAGAAAGCATACTAATAACATAATAAATGCTCATTCATTTCACACAAGCATACTGCATACAATTGCACTCAAGATCCAAAAGGGCAACATAATAATTAACCATCCATCATACCCAAAACCCAAATATTCAACAACACATAGGGGTTAGCTTTGTGAACACTCCTAACTCTACAAGAATTACAACTGATAGGTTGTGAGCTCGAGCTGCCATCATAATCTATGGAAGATCCTCCTTTACCAGGTCTCCAAACATTCCAAATAAAAAGAAAATAAACCATAATTCAATGACAAACTCAAAGAAAAACGAAGACCCAGAAAGTGACAATGTCTGACCTTTTCCTAAGATCCTCAAGCTCTTCCTCCGCTGAACTCTCACAGCTGGAAATCATCAACAAAAACTATCGCAAAGAAAAAAAGATCCCAAATTCAACTTCCAGCAATAAAACAACAAAAACCACAAGAAATTATGAGCAGAAAAGATTCCAACTTCGTAGATATCTCAAGAAGATTCCCAAGGAAATCTCGCGCCGATATAGTCTACGTATATATGCTTGCGGCGCAGTCAAGAAACCGATGAAAATGGAGAGAGAGAGAGGGAGAGAATACAACAGTAAGTAGGGAAGTTGGAAGAAGAAGGAGAAGTGGAAATAATCAGCCGGATCACATAAATAATTAAAATATTTTTTTAGATAAAATAGTAATAATTAAATTTTTTAATCTCAATAATTATGGAATATTTTGGTAATTATTATTCATTAATCACCCCCAAATATGTTTTTATTCGTTAGGGTTTATTTTGAAAAACGGATGTACGCGCCGACCGACATCAATGTGGCCAAGCGGGAAGTTTGCGCCAAATTTTAGAGAGTGATGTGCTGCGTGAAATTACTGTGTTACCCTCACCTGTGAAGAAAGTGTCTACACAAGGAATGTGTTGACTTGTTAGTTGAAGGAGAATATGGGAAGTATAATTAATGACTGATTAGAGCAATGGAGATGGGGATGGATTGTGGGAATCGGTATAACATGGTTTTGTCCTTTGGAGGTTTAGTACAATTATTTCCATTTTAGAGTTAAGCATCTAGGAGGATGTAAATAATAATAACTGAGCTGAACACAAAAGTTAAGCATTTACTTACTATGCACAAAGAGTTCTTATTGCATGGACATCAATTGGCCTAGGTGGGTTTCAGTTTGTGTAAGATAAGTGTTATTTGCTTTAGTAATCCCCTCCTACAATTTATTTTAATGGTAATGAATAAAGTTAGACATAAGATACAAAATAATCTCTTAAACTTTTACAAAAACAGCAATTTAGCCAAAGAGCTAAAACAACACAAATTTAACACTCGAATTCTTCTTTTTTTTTTTTTTGGTGTAGCCCAAAATTTCCAACGTCGGACACAGTAACTAATCCACTTGTTGAATTTTAGGCTCCCCTACTGGATGGGACAATTAATTGGCTTGGTGACTAATCCACTTGTTGAATTTTAGGCTCCCCTATTGGATGAGACAATTAATTGGCCTGGAGATTTATTATATGGGACAATTGGCCTGGAGATTTAAAGTTGCATGGGACAATTGGCCTGTAGATTTAACGTTGCTTCATCCCCAAAGTCCAGAACCAAACCATTAACGTTTAATTAAGGATGAATGAGTCTCTTCCACTCAACCACACTCCTGGGTTATTTAACACTTAAAAATTAACAAAAATTAACGTTATTTTTTTTTTTTGCCTGCATGGGTAGCTCAACTGGTCATAGAGGTGAAACTTTGGAAGAATGACCAGGGATCGAGTCTCACCAGCGGCAGTGTGGGAGCAACCTCTCAAAGTGAGGGGGGCTCCTTGTGCGCAGTGAGCACCGGTCTAGCCTCTGTGATTAATGTAACCTCCCACCGCTCTGTCGGACCGGGGTGTGGGGGTTCAGTCTTTTGGAATAAGGATAAAAGAGTTTTGATAGGTTCAAACCCTTTTGATATTATCTAATTAACAAATTAGATAATATCAATATTATCCAAAATATTTCAAATTTTAAATATACTAATATTAAACATTAATCAATATTTATCAAAATTCCAGTATCAACAAATACTTAAACAAAGACGACAAAGATAATGGTGCAACGACCATGGCATGCATCTTCGTCGGGGCCATTGTTGCTTTTTATGTAGAAAAACACAGCACAACCTAGGAATCAAGCACCACATGAGAATGCCCAAAACCTTAGCAACCCAATTTTGTGAATATTCTCACATGATGCAATTTAATACTCTCTAGTTCCCTATGTATATAAGTTGTGACGTATACAACTCTTACTTTGAAAAAGTAGTACCTAGACGAATTTTGGTGGGTTGTTTCGTAATTTCATTTTTTTATTTTTTTTTTATTTTGGAATGGAATGGAAATGTAAGGTATTATTATTATTATTATTATTATTATTATTATTATTATTATTATTATTATTATTATTATTATTATTATTATTATTATTATTATTATTATTATTATTATTATTATGAGTTGTACGTTAATAATGTTAAGTTGTTAACGTACAAGCAATAACCTAATTATGAACGAGACATTAGGAACAATATGCGTTTATTTCTAGACAGCATTAAGTTCGTGTGCAGGTTGAAAGTTATTTACGGTTATGGCTCTTTTTGTCCTTTAAGACTTTAAGTTGCCCTTTTATCATTTTTTGTTTAAAAGGTTAAAAATCAAAATAAAAATTGAAGATACTCACGCTAAAGTTTACGAGAAAGTTTACAATGTCATTTATAAAAATGTTATTATAAACACAAAAATTTAAATTCTCTATATATTAAATTAAAATCAAGTTGTGCTCAGATGACATGTAGTGACTTCTCCCATGTGAGAGGTCATGAGATCGAGCTTCAGTGGAGGCGTTGTTGACTCTTTGTGCTTCATTAGGTTGAGAAAATATGTTTGAACAGAAGACCGAATATGAAGGGTCGGGACTGGATATATAGACTTGGTTTTCATAATAGGACCATATTTGTGGGGCCATATGTATATATGGGATTCAGGAAGAACTCTTCAGAAACCGTGAGCAGAGAGCACCAGTCTCTTGAAGAAACCGCTCTTCTGTTCCTTCCTCCAAGCACCAGTTGATTCAGTCGGTGAGACTTGAAGAAACCGTGAGCAGAACAGTCGGTTTGATTCAGTCGGTGAGACTTGAAGAAACCGTGAGCAGAACAGTCGGTGAGACTTGAAGAAACCGTGAGCAGAGAGCACCAGTCGGTGAGACTTGAAGAAACCGTGAGCAGAGAGCACCAGTCGGTGAGACTTGAAGAAACCGTGAGCAGAGAAACAGAGGAGAAGTCATTTTCTAGAAAAACAAGGGTATTTTGCTTTGACCATGAAGATGATTTCCTTTGACTATAATTTTCCATACATTACCAAACACTGAAAATCCAAAAAATGATTTTCAGAAATTATTTTCCGATTTCCAAACACACCCTTATATTATTTATAACACGGGGTATTTTGTAATAAAGTGCTTAATGTTGTACATTATGAGTTCACTACTCTTTTTATAGATTGTTTTATAGTATCAAACGAAATTGATTTTAAATGGATAGTGATGGGTAAATATGCACAAGGACTACCTGTGGGACAACCCGGTCGGCCCGCTAGAACCACCGGTCGGCCAGATCCCAATCGCTTGTGACCAATTGCGTTGCTTGTTGAGAAGATTAAAAAACCTAGTGATGGTTAAAGACGCTCCAAGATTACCAGTGGGATCGCACCGGCAGAATCCCACCAAGTCGACCCGCTAGAGCCACCCGGTCGATCCGCTACATAGCCCACTTTGCAAGTTGGAGGACTTAGCTTACGCTACAACTAAAGGAGATCCACTTGTGCCTGCAAGGAAGGCGATTGAAAGCGTGCAAGAATGATGACTCTGCCGCCTAAGCAATCAGTCTACGTGTAGCTGCAGAGTGACTGACTGAGCAGACCAACCAGAGCGCGCCACGTCAAGCCACTTGCATTGGAACATTAAATGCTTAGCCGACCTGCTTAGTATAAATAGGGGGTCCTCCCCTCACTTGTGATATCTAATGTATTGTTACTCAAAGTCACATATTAGATTCATCACTTCGCAATATCACATCACTTGTGGTATTCACTACATTGTAACACTATATCACTTGTATTCGTCTTCTTCTCCATAATACAAAATAGCCTTAGTTCGCTCGATCCTCACCCGGTAAACCGACTGGCTGTTCCAACCGACTGATTGACTAAGCGTCATTCTACTTGCTCACCACTCTTTTTCTTCACCGAATACACTACCTTTCTTAGTCGAAATGGCAAACAACAAGGGAAGTTGGACCCGGAGCCTCATGCATAGTGAAAACTCATCCCACTAGGTTGAAGGTCACCCTGACAATATGGCCAAAACGCTATAAGAAGACGATTTGTGACGACAGTTGGATCGATCGAAAAGACCAGTTAACGACTTCACCTCCAACTATGCAGGACGAACCATGCGGCTTACCCAACAGGCAGACCAACCATGTGGTCTGACTATAGTCCATCTAACTGTCTCAGTACCTTAGAGTGACGTGCCTAGTCCAAACATCCAGGTACCAGTGGCATATACCATGTTATCCTCAACACTATGTGGGTAAGGGGAACCACAATGCAATATCAACATGAGGTTCCACAACAAGATGTGTCGAATCCACCATAAGGATTTACCCAAACGTATCAACCATGGTTAGGGACCCCCCTGGTACTACTTTGTAGCATCTACTCCTCAAATCCCAATTGCATAGCAACAACAACTAGCCACACAGAATGTCCAACAACTGCCCCTGCAACCCCAAAATCACAACCCAGAGGAAATAAAAGTGGCAGACCGACCGGTACCCTAAGGAAATAAAGGTGGCAGACCGATTGCGAAAACCCAATCATGAAAGATGTGGAGATCACCAACAACCCAAAGTCACTCAACAAAGAAGTGTTTTTAACCGAGAAAAGTAGTCTGTCGCCCGACCGACTACTTGTAGAGAATCTGTCTAGCTGACTGTTTGATCAAGTTCATCCGTCGACATTAAAATTGGTTCTGAACGAGTGATTACCCTCGGCCCTACTTGTGAAGACCTAAACCGGTCGAGCATTCCTGACCCTGCTTGTAATGATTTTGCCGGTTGACTGGAAAAAAAAAAACTACCGGCCTTTCTATTTGAGGCTTCGCCCGGTTGATTGATCTCGTCCATACCGGCACAGCCTTGCTCGATCGAGTATGTGATTAAGTTCACTTGTTGTCTCTCTTCTTTTCCGTTTGAAGTTTCGCCTAGATGATTGATCACGACCCTACCTACACAGTCTTACCCAGTCGAGTGTGTGATTAAGTTCACTTGTGTCTCCTAGCTTTTCCGTTTGAGGTTTCACCAAGTTGATTGATCCCGACGCTACCTACACAGTTTTCTTAGTCGAGTGCGTGATTAAGTTCACTTGTTGTCTCTTGGCCTTTTCGTTTAAAGTTTCGACCGGTTGATTGATCATGGCTCTACCTACACGGTCTTGCCCGGTCGAGTGTGTTATTAAGTTCACTTGTTGTCTCCCGACCTTTCCGTTTGAGTTTTTGCCTGGTTGATTGATCTCGGCCCTACTTGCACGGTCATGCTTGATCCGGAATGTGATTAAGTTCGCTTGTTGTCTTCTGGCTTTTTGTTTGACGTTTTGCCTGGTTGATTTATCCTGACCCTACTTGCACGGTTTTGCCTAATCGAGTATGTGATTAAATTCACTTATTGTCTCCCCGACCATTCCGCTTGAGGTTTCGCCTGGTTGATTGATCCCGGCCCTACCTTCACAGTCTTGCCCGATCGAATGTGTGATTAAGTTCACTTGTTGTAATGTGGTCTCACGCCATTTTCGTTTGAGGTTTCGCCAGGTTGATTGATCCCAACCCCACCTGCACGGTCTTGCCCGGTCAAGTGTGTGATTAAGTTCACTTTTGTCTCCTGGCCTTTCCGTTTGAGGTTTTGCCCGGTTGATTGATGTAACACTCCACTTTCCTAACTCTTAATTACATCTCTAATCAGTCATTAACATGACTAGGCAGCGGAAAAACTAAAAGATAATTAGTGGGAGTGTCACCACCACAACTACCACTCTTTGGTGATTGCACAGGCTAAAAGGGGTAAAACTAGAAATAAGATTAAGTTTGGGAACTAAATATAAATACTGGAAAAGTAAGGGGGAAAAACATCACCACGAAAGTCTACAACATCATCAAAAGTATAAGGTCATAAGTCTAAATCCGTAACATAATCATCAGCCGAACTAGAGTTTAGATTTCTCTATCTACGAGACTAATATAACTCGACTTCTTCACACAGTTGGGCCCACCTGAAAGGGGTTTTGCAAGCAACACATAGACAAACAGGAAAAACACCCGTTAGCTCGAAGCTAAGTATAACCACACTCAACCCTGTAAAGCATTCTAGCATATATCTTGAAAACATTTGATATCTTTATAGCATATATCTTGAAAACATTCTAGCATAAATCATCTCTGGATTTATCACCTTCTTTCTAGATGCTTGCACCCTATAATATCAGCTGGCATGCTTATGTAAGTACAAGACTGTTCACATAGATTCAACAGCTTATAAGCTTCTTAGATAACTTAACAAGTAACTCATGCTGACGGATTGGATCATGTTAAAGGACTATACAACATGTATTTATATGCTTTCACATTCTTACCACATAACTTGATAAGTAGAACTTCTACTACAACACGATAATCATGCTCAAGGAATATCTCAAGTTAAACTTCTCATTAAACAATCTTTTACGATGCTCTATTCGCATACAATCATGTATAACATTATGATCATACTTCTTATGCAATCTAGTGCAACAATATATTCATACTCATATGCAATCTCGTGCAATTATATAATCATACTCATATGCAATCTAGTACAACAATATACTCATTCTCTTATGCAATCTAGTGCAACAATATAATTATACTCTTATGCAATCTAGTGCAACAATATAGTCATACTCTTATGAAATCTAGTGCAACAATATAATCATACTCTTATGCAATCTAGTGCAACAATATAATCATACTCTTATGCAATCTCGTGCAATAATATACTCATGCTCATATGCAATCTAGTGCAACAATATACTCATACTCGTATGCAATCTAGCACAATAATATACTCATACACTCATTTATAAATTAGAGTACTTTCTGTGGAGGTCTCTTTGTTACTTTCTCGAGTCTCTCTTTACTCTCTTTCTTTCTCTCAAGTCTTTATTGACTCTTATACTTGAGTCTCTGTTGACTCTCTTTCTTTCTCTTATACTCATAGACGGCTTAGGGTTTCACAGAAGTGTGACTTACCCCATCGGGAACGACATAATTCCGACCCAATATCTCCTACCGTCTACGGAACCAATCTCGTGGTTCAAACTCTGTGGAATCAGGTATCAAACTATTAGTGTGCACACCCCATAACCAGGATTCCAAGCCTGGCGGGAAGTTTCTAACCTCGTAACGTGGGAATACGCCGCGTTACATATACTGGGACCGCAATGTCGATAAAAATCTCCCGAGAGGAACATAGTCCAAACGGTATCCTCCAAACCCTCACCGATATAGATACTACATAAATATATCTCTCATGCATCAATCTCATGCATGCAACAATTCTACTACTTCTCAATGCATCAAAGAATGATGTTTATGGTTTTTGAAAGTATTCTTGGACTCACGTTGGCCCTTTATGCATTTTTGAAATATGACTCATGTGAAATGTCAAAATGCTCTATAACATGCTTCTAAATCATGTATAAACTAACGTGAAGTATTCAAAAATATATCATCATGCTCGGTTTGCAACATAGCAATTTCTATACATTTCACTCAACAAATATGCTTCTATTCTCATTGATCAAATAAAACAATTTAATCATGCTTTCATAATAAATCATATTCTCAAAGGATCATGCTTCTTTACTCAATAAAATATCATCAGATCACAATAATCAAATAATTCCTTATACACAGTAAACTAGCAAGTTATTCACTGTGTAGCAATTCTTTACATAAATCATTCATAGCAAACTTGTTTTTAATCCAAATTCAACGAAATCAAAGCCAAAACGTGCGTCGAGATGATCCTGAAGAGCCGAGCCACAAGGGCCCGTAACACTCGGTCCAAAAATGACACGTAGCTGAGCCACAAGGGCCCGACCACTGCACAAAAATCCTTCACAGACAATACTCAGGGACCTGGGGCGGGACTTTTCATGGTTCGCCCCTGGAGCCCCGTTGAAGCGCCGGGACTAGGCAACGACCCTTCTCTAGGGCCGTGCCACCACGGCTCTAGCCGGCGGCCCTTCTGATGGGCCGCGGCTAGGGCCGCCACTCTGATCTAGTGCACACTGTGTTGTGCACTAGATGTTATTTCACCTGCAAAATCTCATCCAAACAAGTCCAAAACAATCTCAACAACTCACAAACACATACTAAAACACTTCTAAGCAAACACGTTTAACCACAGAGTTCTTTGACTATTTGGTTACCATATCCTACTTAAAACCAATTGGTGATAAGTATGTGGACATTAAGCTTTTAACCACACCCCTCCATGGTAAGTCACTGCGCCACGCCTCGAATCAAGCAAGGGTTGAACTCGGCTAACCCCGTCGATGCCTAACAATCCCCACCCTACCTGCACGGCTTTACCCGGTCAAGTGTGTGATTAAGATCACTTGTTTTCTCCTGGCCTTTCCGTTTGAGGTTTCGCCTGGTTGATTAATTTGGGCTCTACATGCACGGTCTTGCCTGGTCGAGTTTGCGATTAAGTTCATTTGTTATCTCCAGGCCTTTCCATTTGAGCTTTCACACAGATGATTTATCCCGGCCCTACCTACACGGTCTTGCCCGGTCGAGTACGTGTTAAGTTCAACTGTTGTCTTCTAGCCTTTTCGTTTGAGGTTTCGCCCGGTTAATTTATCCCAACCCTACCTGTATGGCTTTTCTCGGTCAAGTATGTGATTAAGTTCACTTGTTATTTCATGGCCCTACCATCTGGGGTTTTGCCCGGTTGAGTTTTTCCGGCCCTACCTGCATGGTTTTTCCTGGTTGATTAATTATGATCATTTGTCACTCGTCTCTACTATTTATCATTGTACTGGAGCAAATGGATCGGTTACCCTGCTTAACCTTGAAACTTGATCTTTGGCAACCAAATTGTTGTGATATTTGTAGGATAAAACATCAAGTTCTCAAGGCGTTCAGACTAGGTGACATGCAGACCAATCACCTAGTCGGTCGGAACAATCAAACGAAGAGAAAAAATGACATACATATCACATATGGTGGAAGGCAAAGGCACTTAGCAAAAATAATTAGTCTGACTGGAACAAGAGCGGGGTCGGCTTCCTAGACGTAAAAATCCTACCTTGGAGCATAGATTTTGGGGTGCTATGGTAGAGGAGTTAGGCAGACCGACTTGGTGATTGGTGAAAGGTTCCAGCCTAGGTGACAAGATGTTCACAGGCAGGACAATACAAACTTGCTCCAAATCTTATTCAAGCACCTCCTCCAGCGCTTGGTGCAAAATGTTTTAACACCCCCAAGCAACATGTGAAGGGTTGATCAAGGAACTAGCCGGCCGGATATTAGTTGGTAGTCGACCAGTCGTGTGCGGCTCACTAGAGGAGGCACAAACGTATTCTTCAACGAGACTTTCAAACTCTTGGTAGTTTTGATCCCGGTCACAGTTTTCTTGGAGGCTTCCATTAGTTCTTCCAATACCTCGTCTATGCCCATCACCTGTTGATCTGTACACAAAAAGCAAGGCAATTGAGGAGTCAAAGAAATAAAAGAAGAGTAGATTCAGATAATCATGACCTGTCGATCGACCTCCCAAGCTGCTGAACATTATGTACTTTGAAGTCTTCACCCGGTCGGGTCAGAGACCGGCCGGATGGCGAGAAGCGAATGGATTGTGATAGGTAAAATTCAACAGAGATCAAAGTAATCGGTCATGATTGGAGTGCTCATTTGGAAAACACAATAACTAGGTTAGGAAAGAAGGTTCGCGATGAGAGAGACTGGACGAGGTTAGATGGAGATAGACAACTGCAACAAAGGGAAAATATTTCTCACTTCTCAAAACAGATAACAATCACGGATTCAAGAAGTGGGGGACTCGTGATGGGTAAATACGCACAAGGAATACCCGTGGGACAACACGGTCGGTTCGTTGAGAACCACCTGGTCAATCGGCTAGAACTACCGGTTGGTCGAATGCCAATCACTCGTGACCGATTGCGTTGCTCATTGTGGAGATTGAAAAGCCTGGTGATGGTTAAGACGCTCCAAGATTACCCGTGGGATCGCACCGGCAGAATCCCACCCGGACGGTCCGCTACGTGGCCCACCTTGCAAGTTGGAGTACCTAGCTTACGCTACATGTAAAGGAGATCCATTTGTGCCTACAAAGAGGGTGACTGACAACGTGCAGGAATGATGACTGATAAGTGCCAAAGACACTCATTTATAAGGGTCTTTATGGGGTTGTTTAGAGTTTAATTCTAATCTTTTGTGATTGATTCTTGGTCTAATATGCTTAAATGTGCTAATGCGTTGCAAAACTCTACCATATGTTGCACTTTAATGTTTATGAAAGGGATTAGAGATTAAAGGAAGGCATATGGGCATGAACCCGAGCATCCCGAGATCAAGCAAAGCGGAGCCATTCAAGAATAAACATCTATGAGCGTGGAACACTCGTGGATTGAGACCAAAATGTATCCACGAGGTGATCCACGATCGTGGAACCCTCATGGTTTGGGACCAGAATGTATCAATGAGCAGATCCACGATCGTGGAGGAGAAACACGGAGTAGTTTAAGTGCGCGATCCACGAGCGTGGAGGGCTCGTGGATGCGATGTAGCACGAGATTTAAAGTGTGTTTTGGAGGGAAAAACTATTTCATCCTAGTTTAGATAGCTTAGTGACATCACTTATCACTTTTCATATTTTTCATATTTGTAAACATTCTAGCTCTAGGTTTTCTCTCTCTATCCTCTCTTACATTGAATTAAAGATCTCTTGGAGAAGGAAGCTTGACAACCTTCTAATCTAGGAGACAATTGTAGAGTGAATCTTCTTGCAATCAAGTTTGGTAATCTTTACTAGTTTTCCTTTAATTGCTTTCTTTGTTGATCCTTGATGCAATGTTGATTCTCAAAGCTACAATGAGTGGCTAAGTTTAATAGGAATTGAATTGTGATTCTATTGCATGATGCTAGTATGAAATGTAATTCCTTAATAGATTGTGCATTGCAATTGTGTTTGAGATCTTGCGTCTTGTGGAGTCCGGCCAACTCCCTTGATAGTTCTAAGCAATTGATCTAGGCAAGAGATTGCTAGATCAATTGTAGCTCCAAGGCAATTGTATTTCCTAACTTTAAGTACCGAGTGGACGAAGTTAGGAATGAGGTGAAGACCTAGTGTTTGATGAAATGCTTCTTAGGACCATAGTCACTTAAAGGTGTTCTGTACCAAGAAATAACCTAGTAAACCGATAGATGAACGGTACTTGTAAAGCCTCACTTGCATCCATCAATTGTAATGACACAACCTAGACCTAAGACAGTAGATGCATCATGTGATAGTTGATCAATTCATTCCTAGCTTTCTTTACTTGCATTCAATACTTACTTACTTTCGATCTTGGTTTCTACAACGTTAATCTCTTGCACACAACCATTGCGTGAACATGTATAGGATGAGCATGATTCCTATTCCTTATATTGAGAGAACGATATAAACTTGGGGTGTGATACCGCCAATGACTCTATCGCCTAAGCAATCAGTCTACGTGTAGCTGCAGAGTGACCAACTAAGCAGACCAACGAGAGCGCGCCACGTCAAGCCACTTGCATATGGAGTATTAAATGCTTAGTTGACCAGTTTAGTATAAATATGGGGAGGGGAAGGGAGGGGGGGGGGGGTCTTCCCCTCACTTCGCAATATCACATCACTTGTGGTATTCACTACATTGTAACACTATATCACTTGTATTCGTCTTCTTCTCCATACTACAACATAGCCTTAGTCCGCTCAGTCTTTCCTTGACAGATCGACAGGCCGGTCCGTCCGACTGACTAACTAAGTGCCATTCTACATGCTCACTATATATGTATTCGTAGCATAGTCTTAACC